ATAATGGAGTATTATGCTACCTTGAAAAATAACAAGGAAGCTGCATGCCACTTCCTAACATGGATGAACCTTAAGGACATTATGTTGAGAGAAATTAGTCAGTCACAAAAGGAAAAATACTGCATAGGACCACTAATGTAAAAGACTAGGAAAAAGAACCTATACTAATCCACTAAAGTGGACTCTCAGTGGGTTGCTAGGATGTAGGGGTAGGGATAGGGGTGGGAGGGGAAGGTGGAGCACAGGGCAGGGAATAGACACAAGATAACTTGGGTATTGGGTAGGGGGCAATATACAAGAAGGGAGAGGGGAATCGAAGAACAAAGCAGATGGGAGAACAAATAGACAGGTATAAATGGGCTAAATTGGGCAGAGGTAAAAAATGATGTAGGCACAGCTTTGGAACAACAGGGCTCTGGAATACAGAGACTGAGACATGGATGGAATGGGGAAAAGGGGTCAACAATGTTAAGATGCTTGGCTTTTGAATCATGGTTTTCCTTGCAATACATTATAAAACAGACACTGGAGGGGGAGAGAAAGGAATAACCAGAAATATCAAATGGAAAGCTTGTAAGCCCGTCTTCTGCCTATAACTGATTAGAATACCTAAAATGGGCCTACAATGTGTCCAGTGAAGGAGGTTTACTGAGGAGCCTCTGCATTACATGTGAGTATAGGTGGAAGCCCGAACCACATCCAGACCTTCAGAGACGGGAAATTTCTCCACTTGAAAGGACAAGCAGACCAGCTGGGAGCAGCTAGAAAACTAGAAGATACCTCTTGAAAGAAAGACCTACAGGAAAAATACAAAACAATAAGGGCAGTCCGACTGTTTCCACAAGAACATACAGGTGGCTTGCCCAGGAGACATCAAGGCAAGTGGTCGGATCCTCTCAGTGCAAATTCTCTTCCAAGACTAAGATGCAAGGGAAATATACACTTTGACTGACAACCACGCACGTCACCCCGAAGGGGAAGTGACCGAAGAACATCAATGAAGTGGCGAGCTAAGCCCTACATCGTTCAGCAAACTACTGTGAATCCGGGTGGAGACCTGGTTGGCCAGTAGCGAGGCAACATCTGGGGACTCATGGGCTCAGAGTCAGTGACACAGCCACAGAGGTCTAGAGTGGAGAGCGGGGTGGCCAGCCGATAAAAAGAGGCCGGACAGACGTAAGAACACCCACACTTGCAGATGATACCTATTTGACCGGACTTCAATCACTGGATAAACAGAGCTCAACCTGAAGAAGAAAGAAAAGTGGGGGGAAAAAAAAGTGTCATCTGATACAATTCAGTAAGCAGTAGCTCAAAAAAGGAAACAAACCCCTGATGCAAGTACTATTCCCACCCCCTTCACACAAAGGGTAGACAGGGATGGGCAACTTGGACATTGGCTACCCAAAATGGGGGGAGGGATACAAAGGCAAGAAGTGACTGGCTTACAAGCTTTCAAGAGGGAACCTAGATCCAAAGGGCATGGAGGAAGGTAGAGTCTCCAGTGAATAGTGT